AAACATGGAATAAAACACAAGGAGGGGAAACAAGGGTTCACAGATACATAAAGGGGCACACAGGAGGTAACCAAATAAGGAACATCTTAACTAAACAACCTAGGAACCAAGGCATAAATAGAGAACAAAATACAAAACACACAAAAACTAAGAATACTGGGCCAACATGGCCCAGGACCATGACAGTTTTAGTTCTGTGCTCCCTCTGTTTAACGTCCCTGCTCGTGTGTTCCCTCTGTTCTCTGTCAGTGTAGTGTCTCTGAGTTCTGTCTGCGTGTATTTCCTGTTTTACTTTGAAGGTCTGTGTCTGATGTCAGTGTATTCAGTTGCGTTCTCCCTGTCTTGTCATGCTTCTTGGGTTCAGCTGTGTCTCCCTCCTGTGTGTTGTTTCCTTGTTTGCCTTTGTGTATATGAGTGTGTGTTCTCTAGTGTTTGTCGTGGGGTCTTTTGCTCATCATGCCCTGTGTTTCACCCTGCATGTATGGTTTCGAGTTTTGTTTGTTAGGTTTTTCCCAGTTTAGGTTTTCTTAGCTCGGTCCTTGCCATCCTCGCCACACAGCCAGTGCCTGCATCTTGGGTCCTTCATTCATAACCCCGCACGTCTGCCACCGCAGCCGTTACATGGATTATAAAGAAATGAGAGGTAGCTCAAGACATTTGCAAATCACCTTATGTCAACAGATCTAATACAATTTAAAACTTAACATAATCCTGATCCTGACCTTCAGGATTATCAGATCTTAAATCAGATTTGATTTAGGGCACTAGTCCCATTAACCTGCAGACCAACCTGCACTTTGTTTGTCTGGTAGTCTGACAGATCTCTAGTGTCGTATGTAATTTAGTGAAGCGTCATTTATCTAGCACATTCTAATGCTAAGTTACAAACAAACAAGCAATGCATTTTAGAAGCTTCTTGAAACAACCTAAAGATTCAGAAACTCTGATGAATTTGGGAAGGTGATTGCAGAGGGTTGTTGCCTTTTGCTTTGCACTTGGAGTGGGTGATGGATGAAAGGCAGACATTTGAGGACTGGAGTGAATGAGAAGCAGAAAGAGGAACAACAAGATCAGAAATATAAAAAGCAGTAAGGCTGTGCAGTTCACTTAATCAACCAAATAATGTATTTTTATTATCAATTTTAACGGAAACAAGTGTGTGAGTGTTTGGGGGGTGGAAGATCAGGTGGGCAATAGTTGTAGTTGAGAGGCTACTAGCTGCATTTTGAAGCAACTGTAATCGATTTTGTGCACCTTGATTGAGGTACATACAGAGGGAATTGCAGTCCTCCAGATGGGAAAACATGAAAGTATTTTAGGAATGAACAGTTTGACGTCCACAGAAAAGAAGACACATCTGATTTTAATGATATACTACCTCAGATTTGAAGGTAGATGTGCAGAATTATAGCTTAAATCCCGCTTTGTTGTTGGGAAAGTTTAAAAATGAAAGAAAGGTAAGTTTAAAAATCAGCAACTTCCTGGTGCTTACCAGGAAGCCATTGGACTGTATCTTGGACTGTTGGCCAATGAGCATTAAAATGCCTTTTTAAGGGCTTTTAAAGAAGAGAGCACATGGCATCATTGCATTTCCTGTGTTTATTCTTATCTGTTATTGTGAGCAGCACATTTTTATAGTATGTAATGATTTATAATTATTTTAACAATGATTATTATTCTCAGTTCATGTATTGTTCCCTATCCTGGAGCTATTTTCCTCCCACTCTAATGCACTCTCTACCTGTAGATCTATAGTGTCAGTGCCTTGAAAAACATTTTCTTCAAACTGACATTGATTGACAGCTTCATAAATAAACAGAAAGGTACTTTTCACAGGTTTGAAGATGTAACTTGAACAACACAGAGGTTCGACCACATTGAACTGTCATCCTCTGGAGAGAAAGGTACAGTTAGTGCCACGTGCTTGACTGACAGAAAGAAAGAAAGACAGAAAACGTAAACAGTGTATAAAGGAGATTTATAACTTGGATTTTGCAAACCCGTCAGTGTGTAAATGTAGGTCATAGATATTGGACTACTTCAAAGAAAAGGTGAAAAAAATTCTCTTTATAAGAGAAAAAAGCACAAAAACAAAGCGAATCATTTTCTTGACAGCCTTTCATTACTCCGGCTTGAATTTTCAATCTGCCTGTGACTTCAGTCGTTTTAGAGGTACGTGCTATCTGCCAATTCTGACTGATGTGGACTCGGGTGCGTATTTCAAGCTGAATATTTCAGTGATTTACCCTAGCTTATATTTAAAACACAAGTGTCTGTATACAAAAGCCTGGTGTTTGTTCATTAAAGTTAACATCCTCTGCATGTTTGTATCACGTGTATGAGCTTTTAATCTTTTTATTAGAAACACCTGATAAATATGCATGACACCTGTACTGTTATATTTAGATCACCAGGAGTAAGGACAGCTGTATTTGTTGTGTTAGCTACAATCTTATAGACAAAAAAATGTCATATATAAGACAACATATCGTCATCTACTGAAAATTAAAGTTGAATGACACTTTACAATTTCTAGGCTGCAGCCAATAATAATCTCAGCTGCAACTTTATTCAGTATGCTTACCTGCAATTTGATATTTACAATGGCCTGCCCTTAATGATACAAATTGGAGTGGAGAAAATGACAGGAACACCTTTCTGTGGGATGCAATTCAGTTCAACAGGGCCATCAGTCTTTGGGCTGACTTTGTCTCTCCACGTGAACTCTTTACTTGCAAACATCTAAGACTGCTCAAATGTGATCTGTCAATAGAACAAAACCTCCTAAAAGTGAAAGTCTTCCTCTTTGACTACAGACTCTCAAAATATTCAGATACACTCACTCACCATGTTGTTAGTTACACCTGTTAAACTACTCATTAACATAAACATTTAATCAGCTAATCACATGGCAGCAACTCAATAAGGCACATAGACGTGACCTGCCAAACTTCAAACAGAGCGTCAGAATGGAGAAGAAAGGGGATTTAAATGACTTTGAACGTGGTTGCTGCTGCTTGTCTGAGTATTTCAGAAACTGCTGATCTACTCGAATTTTCCAACATAATGATCTCTAGGCTTTACAGAGAATCGTCTGAAAGAGAGCAAATATTCAACAAGCAGCAGTGTTCTGGGCAAAAAAGGCTTTGTTGAGGTCAGAGGAGACTGGCCAGACTGCTTTGAACTGTTATGAAGTAACCCAGTAACTTGTTATAAACAAGGTATGCAGAAGAGCTTCTTTGACTGCACAAATAAAATACTCAGGCAGATGGGCTACAACAGCAGAAGAGCACGCTGTATGCCACTCCTATTAGCTAAAAATAGGAAAGTAGAAACACAAAAAAGGCTGTAATAAAGACCAAAATAAAAGAGTAGCAGATCAGAAAACCGTCTAATAAGATGAGTCTCAATTTCTGCTGTGACATTTGATGCTGGGGTCAAAATTTGATGTAACCAATGTGAAGGCATAGATCATCTTACTTGTCAACGGTTCAGGTTAGCGGTGGTGGGGTAATGGTGTGGGAGATGTTTTCTTGGCTCACTCTGGGCCCCCTAGTGTCAGCAGAGAATCGTTTAAATGCCACAGTCTACCTTTTTCTATGTCGTTCTGAAGTAAAGCCTTGTCATGCACTGCTGCTTTTTTTGGTTACCCATTGACTTGTTTTCCATCACTTTAATCTGACAGCTACAAAACACTTGAAGGTATTCTGGGTATATGCATTGTTTATTTTAATCCCCAAAAGTTTGAACAATCTTGAAACCTGAATAAATATTTACTCAAAATCAGCTGCTGGCAGGAGGTATTAATGATCTCATGGAGTAACTGTGAGTTATATAAGAAGGAATCAGTGATAGTGTGATGTTTGGCTGAGTGGTGAATAGCATGGCAGCAACTCACTGCATTTAGGCATGTACACATGGTCAAGACGACCTCCTGAAATTAAAACCAGACATCAGAATGAGGAAGGAAGGTAGTTTAAGTGGCTCTGAATGTGGCACGGTTGTTGGTACCAGACAGGCTGGTCTCAGAAACTGCTCATCTCTATCCTGCTTTGTATCAATACTGCAAGTTGCTGCTGGGGGTGTGGGGGATATCTTCACAACACCTTTTAGGCCCCTCAGTATCTACAGACTTTAAGTATTTCTATTGAACATGTGCATCCCTTTATGGTCACAGTGTACCCATCTTCTGATGGTTTCTTCTAGACAGGATAATGCACCAAAGCTCAAATAATCTCAAACTGCTTGCTCAAGCATGTCATTGAATTCACTGTACTCAAATGGCCTCCACAGTCACCAGATCTCAGTCCAATAGAGCATTTTTGGGATGTGATGAAATGGGAGATTCTCACCATGGATGTGCAGCCAAAAAAAGATCTGCTGCAACTGCCACGATGAATTAAACCAGTTCTGAAGGGTCCAAACCCATACTAGCAAGGTCTAGTAAATAAAACGTTAATGTGTCTATTTACAACACCATAAACTCCAAACTTCCAAAATAACCATTAAGTTGGAAGGCGTATCTTTATAGCTAGTCTTCATGAATATAAGTAGGCTCTAGTATATGACTATTGCATTCAACTGCATTCATTTTATCTACAGATGTTCCCTTTTTGCTGTTTTTGACACTGTTCAGATAAAACTGAAATATGGAAAAATGTTTAATGATTTTCTGCGATGTTACTTCAATTATGCAATAATTTCCGCTTTATTTATTTATTTTTTTTGATTTTCTCAGGGTAAGGTGTTTAATCCTGGCGTGAGAAGCTGGTTCACAGAGTCCTTTCCATAAAAGTCTGTCTTGACATATGTGGGCAGAGTGAGCCTGAAAGCTTCTCTAGGACTCGGAGCCCTTTTGACTGGTGACTAACACACAGTGAAAGGGAGCAGAGGCAGGGGAGGAGGGTTTGGAGGGAGGAGGGTTTGGGGCGGTTGTCGTCACTGGGAGCTGCAGCAGCATCAGCATCACCGGAATGAGTAACAGTGCGCAACTTGAGAAATAACTATAGTGTCTGGAGGAGCGCGAGTGTGACCGTTAATCGTTAACTTCACGAGCCGGGTTTCTCTTCAGCGTATTCATGAGGGCTTAAAAGGTGCCAACAAGGAAACCCCCAACACGGACTCTCTGTGGAGCTGCCGCCGAAGAAAGAGGAGCCATGGACTATATAAAAAACCACAACACTTATCTCCCCTTCTTCATTTTGATAAGTAAGTAAGACTCCAGTGAGTGTTTTGGTAAAACTTTTCCCGTCTTCTGTCTCCTTTTTGCGCTTACTTTGTGTTTTCTTTAAGTGGTTGAATGGGCACATTTGGCAACAGTGTGTCACGTTAATTAGCCTTTCTGCAGCGTCGTGCCACTCACAGGGGCCACGGGGGAGAGTTGGTCCAGGGTTTAGACAGAGTCTATTGCAGTTTGATCCGATCATGAATCTTTGGCACAAAAACGCGCCGCCTCGCACACGTCCCAGCGGTGCTTCCACATCCACTCTGAGAAGCGACATCAGGCGAGGTGTCATTTTCTCTGGAGGCAACACTTGACGGAATTTGATTTACATTCATTTACACTGCAGCAGGACGACAAGACTTGGCAAGGAATGGGCTCTCGGAGCAGTTAGTGGGGTTACATAATAATTGTATGCTGTTGGTTATACTGCTTATCTTAAATAAACAGAGGAAAATATGACATTTTTCTTTAGGCTTTAAGCATATTAACCCAGATTTTGTTTTGTTAAACCTAGCTGAAAAAGGCAAATATCATTAAACAAAAAAGGCCTGAATTTTCTTCCTTTCCCCCTCTTTTTTCGTATTTGGAAAATAAAAAAATAAAATCCATGAATCATTGTTTACTGGAAGAAAATCACGTTTGTTTGTGCTTCTTGCCTGCCAGATCCAATCAGGCTTAATTTCATATGAATAGAGTGAGTGTTTGTGACCAGCAGAAGCATGTCATGTGGTCAGGGAAATTATGGTGAACTCACTCACAGGGATCCACTAGAGCTGGCTTATTAGCATCACTGTAACTTCCTCTGGCTTTAAACCATCTCATGCAGCACAGTTAGTTCACTTTCTACATGCTAATGCTATTTTTAATGATCTGCTCATGCTTACTGAAAGCCAGATTTGTTATTTGTTCTTTAGAGGTGGGAGTTATTATTAGTACTACTGCTGGTAAGTGCTCATATATATTTTTTATGTTTCACACAGGTTGATGCAGCACCACATGCTTTCTCTTTCAGCTGAATAGCTGTATGTATCATATATGTTTAGCCAATCAACATGTACCTAAAGAGGGCAGTAGATAGCTTACTCCACTTGAAGCAACAACACCTTGTTTTTTTTATTGGCAAGCAAAAGCCACATGCAGGAGCCCCTCCCCTTGGCTTTAGCAGCCACTGTGGCTGGATCAGTGTAAGTGGCTCTTACTGCAGTCACTCCAGTGACAGGAATGAGTCCAGGATGAGCTCCGCCAAAACTCACAGTATTATGTCAGATCCCCCTCCTCCCCTCTCCGAGCCTGAGGCACATCTAGCATGCATCCGACTCGTGAGGGATAGTCTTCTCATACCAGCGCGGCCAATATTTGATTTTCGCAACATTATCTATTCGCAGTATTCTCAAACTACATGTGGGGAGTTGGAGAGAGAATATTTAACCATAATTATAGAAAGCCCATAAAAATTACAATTACACTCAAGTGGAAATGCAAAACAGATCAGCTGATACATATCTGACTGAAAATTGCTTTCTCTGCTGTGGCAAATACTGTGTGATCAAAGGGCGGATGTGATTAACCAGGTTGGTAGCACTGTCCCATTTTGTGCTTAGTGTTGATTAACATGATAAACTTTATAAATGATGGATGTGTGTGCCGTGAGGTCCCCCATTGGTTTGTAGACGTCTCACTATTCTGTAAACATGTTTATCTCTTCTCTAAATTGGGGCATTTTATCAGCAGGGTCTAGGAGGCCATTTGAGGGCGGCTCAAGTGGCCGCTCAGTGAACTGTTTCTCATACTCCTGCATTGGTGTCTTTTTATTATATGTGTATTATTAAGATCCTATCATTATGTTATTTTTTTAATATGATAAACATCACTGTTAGAAAGTTATCTCTGGGATGCTGGGATGATAGCTCCCTCAGGACTTAAACTCCGGTCAGAGAGTGGGGCACAGAGAGTGATGTCCGGATATACTTGAATGGAAGTTAACAGCAGCTCAACAGTACAGCAGTAGGCATACTTAACAAGTGTGGGAGGGGCGGACAGACGTGTGGTTCTGAATAACAAGAAACAAGGAGAAACAATTATTACATGTAAGTATAACAATTATCACTTCCCAACATCACACCAATATAACGAACTGTAACACAAATAATGCCCAGAGGTGAATGCTCTGACACAAGAAAGTCCCACAATCCCATTTGAACAGGCAGGAAACAAGAAGACCTGCATATCTCAGGCAACAGAAAAGACCTAATGCTCCAAAATTAGGAAAAGTCGACAATTACATGGTCTTCAGTGCCCTCTAGTGGCTAAATAACCCAACTGCAGTGGTAAGTCACATGCCTCTACCAATCTCGATAAATCTCCTAGCCTAAACCCCCTGTAATTATTGTCAAAGTACAACCCGTGCTATAAGTGGAAATGGACTCGTAGAACTGGAGGGATTTTGACTCACATTTGCGCAGGAACGCACACGGCTGGAGATTGCTATTCCCCCGCACTCATGGAGAAAAGCATGCCTAGTGCTCCCTGGACTCGTGATACGGCAGGACCGTCGTAAAAGCATGTGACGTCATAACCGCAGCAAACAGTAAGAACAAAGTGGAACTTATCGGCAGACATTACCAGTGCACTTATAACTATGTGACTGAAATATAAGGAGACGTTCGGACACGGCCGCCCCCAAATTTAAGTGGTAAATTTGCTCTTCAACCGAAAGTCTAAGCATCATTGGGTTTACAGTCCTCCTCATCCTCCCAGGCTGAGAGTCTTACTAATCTGGCAACAGGTCGAAGATATGTCTGTCCCTTGATTGTCACCTCAGCCGCTCTCACCCGACCGTCTGGCCCTGGACAGGCCTTGACCACCTTTCCAATAGGCCACTGCGCTCGCGGTAGTTGTGAGTCAACCACCATAACCACTTGACCTGTGGTTAAGTTGTCAGTATCCCCCTGCCATCTTTGTCTCTTCTGAAGATCAGACAGATGGTGACGCAGGAAGTTGGACCAAAAATGGCCTGCCAGAATCTGACTATGGCACCATCACCATCTTCCCAGCATCTCACTCGAAGCATAAATCACCTGGGGGAGTGATGCATCTTGTCGCCCCATTAGCAATAAGTTGGGTGTGACTGGATCTGGATCCGCTACATCCGAAGAGACATAGCCGAGAGGCTTTGCATTAATGATCCCTTCCACCTCGACCAGCACAGTTTGCAAAACTGCCTCTGTGACTTTATTGCCTCCCAGCACCACTTGAAGAGCTGTCTTCACAGATCTTATCTCCCGTTCCCAAGTACCTCCAAAATGGGGGGAACCTTGTGGATTAAACCGGAACTCAATCCTCTGCTCCGCCAGCTGCTCTTTAATGGGGGCTTCAAGAGCTGAGAAACTAGACTGTAGTTCGGTCTCTCCTCCCCTGAAGTTGGTGCCACAGTCAGATAGGATCTCATATGGCTTGCCCTGGCGTGCAATAAACCGACGCAGAGCCATGAGAAAAGCATCGGTATCTATGCTGTCCAACAGGTCAAGATGCACACAGCTCGTAGTCATGCATTTGAATATGATACCCCAACGCTTTTCAGTGTGCCATCCTACTTTGATGTTGTAAGGACCGAAGCAGTCGACTCCAGTGGACCAAAATGGTGGTTTGTATAGGCGCAGCCTTGCAGGGGGTAGATCTGCCATCCGAGGAATATTAGGACTGGCTCGCCACCTTCGACACCCACCACAGCTGTGCTGGTGCCGCTTGATTGCCTCCCTTCCTCGGAGAATCCAATATTTTCTCCTCATCTCCCCGAACACTCGTTCTGGCCCAGGGTGCAACAGCTGCTCATCATATTCTTTGATCAGCAGTTTAGTCACCGGATGCTGCGGGTCAAGGACTATGGGGTGCATGGCATCCAAGTCCAAACCTTCTGCTCATCGGAGTCTGCCCCCAACTCTTATCAGCCCAATAGCCGGGTCATACTCCGGAGTGAGTGTTAGCAGGCGACTCTGCTTATGAATTGCCTTACCAGCAGCCAGGGTCTGTAATTCCTCGGGGAAGCTATCATTTTGAGCTTGTTTCAGGAGATGCAGCTCAGCAGCTGATGTATCTGTAGCAGTCATGACATGGTTTTTGTGATCAGCAGCCGCCCCATGAAGGATCCGATGGATAGCCTTAACCACTTCACTCCATTTGCCAAAATTGGAAATTGGCACCGTTAGCTGTGGACTGCATGTGGTGGTGGTTCCACAGAATGCTGTTGCTCTCAGCTCCCCATTGTCTTCTTGACCTTCACCTTCATGGAGAGTTGGCCAGGTATCAGGGTTCGTTAAAAGGAAAGGTGGGCCCTGAGTCCCAACGGTTTGGTTGACTCAGCTCGAGAAGGGTTTTCCCTTGCATGAGGTCATCAGCCGGATTGTCCTTGGTGTTGACATATCTCCAACTTGACACCTCAGTAAGATTTTGTATTTCGGCAATCCTGGTAACAACAAAGACCTTATAGCGGCATGAATCAGATTGGATCCAGGTAAAAACTGTTGTTGAGTCACTCCATAGGGTGATGTCACTGGGTTGAAATGCCAGCTCGGTCTCGAGTACTCTAGCCAGTTGGGCTCCGGCAAGAGCTGCACATAACTCCAAACATGGCATAGAAATCTGTTTCTGGGGGCTTATTCTTGACCTCGCCATCATGAATGCCATGTGGACGTCGCCTTGGGAGTCCTGTGTTCGTAGATAGGCTACGCCTTAGGCTCTTTCGGAGGCATCACAAAATATGTGAGCCCCTCTACCTGGTATCCCGGTGTCTGCTCTTGGTGGGACATAGCATCTTGGTAATTCCACCTGTTGCAAGTACACTAGTTCCTTCTTTCACTGTGTCCATCTGTCTAGTAGGGCCGTAGGATGGATTTGTTCATCCCATCCAACTCCTGCCTTCCAAAGATCCTGAATTAAAACCTTTGCTCGTGTTGAGAAGGGTATGAAGTAGCCCAGAGGATCATAC